ATCTGGCTTCTGCCTCTACCCCAAAAATCATCTCCACTGTCACAGGTCCATCCATGCATGGCATTCCCCACAGATTTTATTTATTGACGGGCAGCATTTCAGACTGGGGCTTTCTCCTTCCCGGAATTTTCCCCTCTCCCCAGATCTGAGACTCCACTTTCTCACGGCGTCCATGCCCAACCCTCACCTCACCAATACCTCTTCGAATCTTTGACTCTTCCTGCTCAGACCTCTAGTCTCTCTTTCTTCTCCTCAAATGATATTTCCTCAGCCCTCATTCTACATACTCACCCATTTCCATGCCTCAGCCATCATCTCTGATTCATAAACCCAAATTGGTATCTTTATTATTGGTTCCTTCCTTAAACATGCATCTGTCTAGCCATCCATTTATCCATCCATCTGTTAATCCATGCATCCATTCATCTATGCATCTGTCCAACCATCCAGCCATCTATCCATTCGTCCATGCATCCATCTGTCCATGCATCCATCTATCCATGCATCTGTCCATCCATGCATCTGTCCCGTCCATCCATCCATCCATCCATTTATCCATGCATTCATCTATCCATCCGTCCATCTGTCCATCTCTGTTTGTTCATCTCTCTGTCCATCCAACCATCCATGCAACCAAAATATTTTCAGAGTACATACTATGTGGTCTGAGCTAGATGCTAAGGATACAGTGGTGAAAAATTAAAGTGTCCTCACTAAACGCAGTTGCCAACTGAACAGCTCAACTGGGCTGTTTCCCAGGCTCCTTGACACATCATATAGTATATGCAACTACCACTCCCTGCACCAGAAAACCCACTCTTATCCTCCAGGATTCCTTCCCTTGGCTAGTAGCAGTTTACCAAGTCAGAAGTGGGAGATTATCCCAGACTTACCTCCTTCACTCTCCACAGACCCCAGCATTCATCTCATTGGTTCTTCATGCATTTAGCTCTTCCCTCCATCTCTATGCTACAGCCCTGATTCTGGCTTTTGTAAATTCTTGCCTCAACTTCCAAATTAGTTTCCCATCCAGCCTCAAGGTCCAGATCCTTCTGGTTCCTCCTCCACACCCTCCCAGAGGAGATGGCTAATGTTCACTCTTCAAACACATCACCCACCTTGGATCCCTTTTCTACCCTTCCTTACTGTGCTCAGTGCCCCATGAAGCTGATTACTGCAGGTTTCAGGTGACACACCTGGCTTTCCTTACTTCCCGGCATCCAGTTAGGTTTGACCAATAAGGGCTTCAAGCAGGTTGGGCCCGTGGTGGTTCATAGCTGTAATCCCAGCACTTTGGGAGGCTGAGGTGGGAGGATCACTTGAGCCTGAGAGGTTGAAGCTGCAGTGAGCTGAGATTGCACCACTGCACTCCAGCTTGGGTGACAGCGTGAGACCCTGCCTTAAAAAAAAAAAAAAAAAAAAAAAGACACCTCTTGATAGCAGTTTATATACATCTATCTCATTGTCTTAGTGGCTATTCCGGCTTCTGGATGAAGTATAGTTCATTTAATGGGTCCCTTCTTAGAACCAATACTATTTCCCAGTATCCCCTCTCTCCTCCTTCCCTAACAGCAGAAGTGTGATGTCTTAGCTGGGAACAAGGATAAAAACTACGAGTTGTAGCCTCCCTGCTTGTGTGATTTTTCTGCCCAATAGGATATGGGCATAGTCAGGGTCAAGACCTTAGTGGGGAGGAGCATGCTCTCCCCATCACTCCGTCTCTCTCCCCACTGGCTGGAATGTGAGTTTGGAAGTGACCTACCTGTGCCTATGCAGATGAGGACAGTGCTGCAAGGATGGAAGGCATCTTGGGTCCCTAAGTAGAGCTGGGATACCAGCCGTGGACTCCTTATAGCCCGACAGTCCATGACAAAGGGTTGGTCTGACTCCAAAAGACCACATTAACCAATAACCAGTAGCAACTCCCAAGAGCAAAGGGCATGTGGAAAGAGCTCTTCCTCTGTCATGGTTCCTGACCTCAGACACTCACAACTTCTGCCATTTCTGCACATTGCCTCAACTGTTATTTACCTAACAACTTCTTTCAACTTAACTCTCTTGTTAAATACAACATAAATGTATTTATTTTTATTTTATTTTTTTAAGAGATGGGGTTTCACCATGTTGGCCAGGCTGGTCTCGAACTCCTGACTTCAGGTGATCCACCCACCTCCACCTCCCAAAGTGCTGGGATTACAGGCATGAGCCACCACACCCGGCCCCAGAAATGCATTTATTTAAAAGGAAAACTAGCTGGGCACGATAGCTCATGTCTAATTCCAGCACTTTGGGAGGTCAAGGTGGAAGGATTGCTTGAGCACAGGAGTTCAAAAGCAGCCCGGGGAACACAGTGAGATCTCATTTCTACAGGAAAAAAAAAAAAAAAATTAGCTGGACATGATGGTGCGCACTTGTGGTCCCAGCTACTCAGGAGGCTGAGGTGAGAGGACCTCCTGAGCCCAGAAGGTTGAAGCTACAGTGAGCCACGATGGTGTCACTGCACTCCAGCCTGGGGGACAGAGTGAGACCCTGTCTCTAAAAACAAATAAAAGGAAACCTTGGCTGGGCGAGGTGGCTCACACTTGTAATCCCAGCACTTCGGGAGGCTGCCAAGATGGTGAAACTCTGTCTCTACTAAAAACAGAAAAATTAGCCAGGTGCAGTGGCAGGCGCCTGTAATCCCAGCACTCAGGAGGTTGAGGCAGGAGAATCGCTTGAACCCAGGGGGTGGAAGTTGCAATGAGCTGAGATCACACCACTGCACTCCAGCCTGGGTGACAGGGTGAGATTCTGTCTCAAAAACAAAACAAAATAAAACAAAAACAAAACAACAACAACAACAAAAAAGGAAGCCTTAACAGACCATTGTTGTTTGCCATATCCAGCAAGAGGTAATTAAAAACCCAATAAGATCAGACAATGTTATTAAATCAAAAATTAAAAACAAAATGAAATACAGGCACCCAAAAACAAGTTCCCAAAGAGAAGAACAGGCCTTTTATTGCGTATGCATAAGGACCTGTTCATTGCTGGTACCCAATACCCCTTAGCTTTATGCCTGAAAAATTTTGTAATCACTCAAGATTTAATCACGATCTCATTTTCATCACAGTAACTCTAGAGAATGCAATGATGGCAAGGGGCTTGGGTTCTGGTGCCAAAGTAGAACCAGGGAAGAAGCCCCCACCCTGCACCTTGGGCCCCCAGGGGTCAACGGCTAGGCATTGGGGACTGGAAGTGCCGACCCCAGCAAACCTCACCACAGCACAGGGTCCTAGAGTCTTGCGGTCACTTACTGAGACGACCTTTTTTTTTTAAACATTTGATGTCAACTTATTTACTCCTTTGCCAATATTCAAACAGGCAGGCATTCATACAACAGCAAAAACAAGCAAAAGAAACCTTTAAAACGGCCAAATAATCTGTTCTATTTTCTTTTTTTCCAGTCGGAGTCTCACTCTGTCTCCACTGCCAGGCTGGAGTGCAGTGGCATGATCTCAGCTCACTACAACCTCTCGAGGATCACTTGAGCCCAGGAGTTTGAGACCTTGTAAATACTTATTCAGGAAAAGTTCCACCAGGGCTGAAGGACTGGTCTCTGTCAAGGTCCACATGGGTTCCAGCTCTGGCTCTTGTTCAGAGACAGCCCCCTCCACAGCTGAAATCAAAGAATCAGCAAACTTTGAAGAAGTGGGAAAACCAATGAAGTCCCAATGCATAGAAATGATGCCTTAGCCAAATGTTAAGTCGGCTTCCTCAGTGCAACCTCAACTTGTCATCCCCCCACCTCTCTTGAGACTGGGTCTCACTTTATTGCCTAGGCTGGTCTTAAAACTCCTGGGCTCAACTGATCCTCCTGCCCCAACCTCCCAAAATGCTGGGATGACAGGCATGAGGCCACCATGCACAGCCATCCCTGTCTTGATGCAAATATTCCTCCTTCATCTCAGCCCCCACCTTCATGCTATTTAACCTGAATTTGATCCTCTGGGTCAAGGACCTTGCTTTGACCTTCGTGTCATTGCCAGTTCATCCACCTGCACAAGCCAATGGTGTGGCACTGCCACAATCTCCTGTTCTCAGATGTCAACAGGCGACAGCTATTATTCCTTGCAGTATTTATTCAGCCACTACCATCCATCTGACAAGGTGGATTACAAAGATGAGAGCCTATCAGCATGTGGTGGCCTAGCACAGCGCCTCGAAATGATGGAAGGAGCTGATTACTCTTGATGCAGGAAGGGAGCCCAGAGCAAGCTATCCTCTAGTCTTTGGGGGTGGGGAGCATAGCACGGCAGTGATGCTGAGGATCACTAGAGCTGGGAACACACCCAGGCATGCAGAGCTGGGAGGAATATTTGAAAATGTGTAAATGCCTGTGGGGCCAGGCGTGGGGGCTCATGCCTGCAATCCCAGCACTCCAGGAGGCTGATGGGCAGATGGATCACTTGAGCCCAGGAGTTTGAGACCAGCCTGAGCAACATGGGGAAACTCCATCTCTACTAAAAATACAAAACGTAGCCAAATTTGGTAGTATGCACCTGTAATCCCAGCTATTTGAGAGGCTGAGTGATGAAAATAGTTAGAGCCTGGGAGATGGAGGTTACAATGAGTTGGGATTCAGAGTGAAACCCTGTCGAAGAAAAAATAGAAAAAGGAAAGGAAGAAAAAGAAAAAGGAAGAAAGAGAAAAGGAAGAGAGGAGAAAGAAAAAAATGGAGGAAAGGAGGAAAGACAGCAAAGGAAGAAAGGAAAAAAGAAAAAATAAAAAAAGTGCATAAGTGCCTGTGTTAGAAAGTTTACCCCAACTCTTGGCGGCTGTGAGTGACGAGAAGGCCCCTGAGCCAGGGTGCAGCACGATCAGCAGCAGGTCTCTGCCAGACAAAGGGCAGCACCCAGGCACTGGCAGTTGGGATTGATTAAGACCGAGAAGTAACACTGGCTTAGGGAATAGAGCTATATTTATTTAAGGACTAGGCAAAGATCCAAACCACTTTAAAAAAATTTTAAATCAAACACTTTATTTCCACATAACAAGCGCAAAAAACTCCCAAACACTTTAACAATACAATTAACGCAGTTATGAATTATATACTACTCAAAGCCCCAAGGTCAGAAGGTCAATCAGCTTAACGCTCCAAACATTTCCAGACATGGTTTTTCAAAGCTACCTTTGGTTTTTGGAAAAACCAGTATGGAAGTCAATATACATTGAACGCACTGAATAACATCTGCTTATCGTAAGGTGTCCGACAACATTAGCTTACACCTGGCAAGTTGGAGCATGATCAGAAGTCATACACTGAAATCCATACACAGATTTTGCCCCGAGCTCCTGGAGGGAGAAGCGAGGGCCGTGAAGGGGGAAGAAAAGGCCAGTCCGGGTGTGGCGTTTCTCGCTTTGTAACAGAGGTATGAGAGTTTAACACTAGTACACTGTCAAGTCATTAAGCTTCATGTTCCACATGGTTTCTTGCTGAGGCTTGAGATGGGCACAAATGGTGGGGAAGATGAAGTCACAGAAGAGTTTTGAGCAACAAGATCCCAAAGATGCTCAGAGAGGGTGGGAAGGAGCAAGCTACAGTTTCCCATTGTTCTCACATTATTTCAGGGTGAAATTGTGATGAGTTCAGATAAAATGTTCAAATATTTGCTTAGATTTTTAATCAGTTGCTCTATGAGAACCCTCATACATAGCAACTTTGAAACTTTCATTATAAAAAAGAGCCTACAAATAAATTCACAAAAAAGAGACAATTAATGTTGAGCAGCCAAAAAGTCATGGTTTATTATATCTGAAGAAATTTCATAATTCAAACACAACCAAACTGTACATTTTACAATCACATTCTATTTGTAAACAGTTAAAAGCCACTGACTTCTTTTGCATCTTAGGACACAAACAGTTAGAATCAAGGCAATGAAATGATGGCAAATTCTGTACTGTTAAAATTTTTACCCTTGTTTAGTCTCTCTTCTTTGACTAAGCAAGCATTATAATACCATTTGGGAGCAAAAAAAGGGGGAGGAAAGAAAGTTTAAAATGGTGTAACTCGTTAGTTTGCAACAACATTTAAAATTTTCTTTATACAACAAACAACTCTGTAAGCCCAATACCTTGGTTACAGTATGCATAGTTACTGATTTCGGCTTTAAGGTACAACAGTTAAACATTAACACAGTCACAAGAGAGCAGAAACATATGGAGCCACTTGATGGGATTACAAAAAATTATTACCTATTGATTATTAGCAAACCATCATCACTCACTAATAAAAAGACAGCATCTGAAAGCAGAATGTCAAACTCCAGCTTTAAGCGTTTTTTTGTATTTTCTTTTTTTTTTGGCAGAGAAAATTCTTTAACAGAGCAATATGTAGTATCAGTGCTAAAAGTTGGGGTTTTTCTTTTTTTCCTATAAGAAACTACAAGGAGTTTTTTTTGTTGTTTTTTTTATTTTTATTTATTTTTTTTAACTGGGGAACTGGTTTTCCTGAGAACCATGCTCTTTGATTTAGGACAGGAATAGAAAAACAAAAGAACATGGCCAAATGCTGCTCCTTTTTCCCAGAGATAGAAAGCATCTTTTAAATCATCCTCCATTTTTTTTTTTTTTGTCTTTTACATTTTTTTTAAATGATGGAAGAGTAAACATTTTCTTTTTTCTCAAAAAACAAACAAAAAAATCTGTAAACAAGAAGGTTCAACGTGGGAACCTCCAAAACAAAATGGAAAGCCTATTCAAAGTGCAGGGCCCGTCCTGGGTGGCAGGTGGGCTGCAAGTCACAGCTGTGGCCACAGTTTTTCAAACTGCAGAGCGAAATTCTTTAGTTTTACAACATGAAAAAACTGGTGCAACACTTTCATTAATAATCCTAAGTCAGCATCCTAACTTGATCTTTTAAACTCCACGATACCACAATAAGGTAGGCAACATCAAGGCATAGTAGAGAGCGCACGCCTCCTAAGAACACCCTTGAGTAAACATTGACACTGGGACAGCTGCCCCCCATACTGCCGATGAGACGGAGAGAACATCATTCAGTGCAAAGGGAAAAGCTCATACGTTATCAGCCCAAAATATGGTTTCGCAAAAAAGAGAGAAAAAAAGGGAAGGGGGGAGGAATAGAAGGAAAAAAAATCCGAAGGCTAAACATGATGAATAGACACAAGCGAGCTCATTCTCTACGGTTTAGCATGTATGGCGCTATTTGGGAGTGTAAATAGAGTAGATACCTTTTCACATTATAATATTGGCCTGCATGATTCAAGTATTCAAACTGATATGTTCTGGGGAAAACAAAGTGGAAAATGTGCAGAGAATAGCTGTTCCCACAGGCGGCCCCTGGCTGCAGGCGGCGAGCCCCACTTAGTGCTCCTTTCCCTCGCGTCTGAGGTCCCGGTCGGTGAGTCTGCATCTACACTGTTACATGGACTCTCCACCCCCACCCAGGTGGTCAACAGAAAGAAAAGCGTTAATGGGAGATGGGCTGCTAATTCCTCGGGGGTCGCTGCTGCTTGGAGGACCCCACAAGCTTGTGGAATAATGCGGGGTCCCCCAGAGTGAAGTGCCGTGAAGGTCTCCACAGTTAGTTCCCGACAGCCCAGCACCATTCCAGTGATTGAGATCGGTCCGGCTGGAGAATGAGTGGGAACAGTCGAGGGAGCCCAGCCGGCTCTGGCTGGACCCGAGAGACTGCCAGCCGGGAGAAGGGGTCAGAGACTGGCTTTGTGCAAAGAAACGACTGATCTCCTCTTCACTGGCAAACTCAGCAAGAATAGTAGTGTTCCCCAGTACACACCTAGAGGAGAGAGGCACCGCGGACACGTGAGGACGGTGCGTCAGGAGGGCTTCATTAACTCCCAGTGAGGGTACAACTTGTCTCTGCTAGAAAAGCCACGGAGCGCGCAGAGGGAGAGACCACACCACATGACCTGTGAGCCCTCCCTTTACCGAGCGTGCGCCAACAGCTCTCTGGGGCCTGGTGCTTCACCCAGAGTGAACTTCCTTGGTCTCCCACGGGTAATGTAAGGGACTTTCTAGGGCCATTTGGCCAGGTCTGCTTCCCCCGCTTAGGAGTGCCAGTCTCGGAATGAGGGCACTGCTGCGGCCCACAGGAGCCACCCATACAGGACCCACCCACACAGGGCCCTGTGTGCTGCCCCAAGCCAGGCTGTACTCTCTCATAACTTCTTCCCCAAGACTCTTCCAACTGGGAGTCCAACGGCCAACTTACATGTGCAGAGACTTTTGTGCCTTCACTACCTCTTCTTTTGAACTGTAGCGGACCAGAGCATTTCCGTGAGGGAGGTTCAGGTGGAATGTGATCAGTGGGCCATGCTGCATGCACAAAGTGCGCAGAGTTGAGCCATCGATCTAGGAAACAGCGTGGGAACCACCAGTGAGGGGTCACTGAGGGTCCTCTGGGAGGCCATCCCAGGCTGCACTGCTGTCCCTCCTCTCTTCCCTGAGGCTCTGTGCTGGCATTACTCTTCACTGACACTCATTGCTCTAACTGGGTGCAGAGCCACCCTCCCCACCTCCACTGCTCCCAGAGCCATACCTTTCCGGCCTCTAGACTCCTGGACACTCCCCAGATCCCCAATTCCTTATGAGCCATTGTCCCTGCTATGACTCCATGTCTTCTCTCTTCCCTGCCCTGAGGACAGCATCCATCAAAGCTCTGCTCCCTGGGGGAGGAGGAGGTGGGCGCTTAACACCCAGCCTCCAGAGGAGGGGGCAGGCCAGGGGCTAAGAAAATGCTCTCACTTTGGGGCAGACCAGAGTTTCTCCACATGCGAATAAGGACCACCTCTGTCAAATTCATCTGCAGGCCCTCAAACCAATGCAGAGTCCCAGCTCTTCGCCCAGATCTACTGACTCAATCTCTGGGTGAGACCTGGGAATCTGTATTTTTGGTTGGTTCCCAGGCACATTACGGCGTGAACCACAGGATCTGACCAGAGCCTGCCTGAGGTCTACAGACCAGTCCTCTGGTACTTCCTCTGCTTGGGCTCACTACCACCTACAAGCCCTCGTCTCACACCCAGACCCGAACCTCTGTTCCCATGCTCCCTGACATAGCCACATAAACCAGGGTTATCTGGTATCCTTACCTGAGGTGTAAGGTTTTTTAGAACAAGCCAATTTGTTATTCTCCCTGAGCTGCTCTCACCCCAGCTGGAACCTAAACGAGGAAAAAAGGACAAGTCAGTTTTCCAGGTCTGGATGAATACAGCTAGAGTTACTCTGCAGATCACTCTGCATCCTGGCTTCCTTTATTTCCTTGCACTTCTACAAGGGATGCTTTCTCCCTAGGCTCACAATCTGAGCTCCCTCTAGCCATGGCCAGGCATTAACTCCATGGCAGAGGGCCCTGCCTCTGGGGAGAGTGAGCTCAGAATGGCTCCCAGCTTACCACATGGGAGGGCAGTGAGCCATAAAACCCAGCCATTCTCTCTTTGAGATCTTCTCATTGATAGGAGCTAAAATCATCTCAAACGATACCCTCTGAGGAAGGCTTCAGTAATGTCTGAGTACTCTGCCTGTGTGTCCTTCAGAGTGTGAAGCTTTAAGGGGATTCCAGAGCTTGCCATCGCACAGATGTTCCTTGTTTTCACCTGCGTTACTGCAGAGGCTCCCCATCTGGCCTTCCTGCTGGGCCTCCATGGCATCCACTCTCCCCCTGGGAGTAAAGCCTCACCCCTGACCCCATCTACGACTCAAGGCGCCTCACAAACACTTCAGGGTGATTGGAAAGACCATTCCATGACACAGCTCACGCCTATCCACTTCTCATGGAATTCTCCCATCCCCGACAATCCTCTCAGTACTCCAACGGGAGTGTCTGTGCTTTCTCAGGTGTCTGGGCCTTGGCAGAGCCTGCCCCTCGGCTTTACCTGGCTTACTCCTACAGGTTTCCTGATCCCACTCAACTGCATCAAGGCTCCCTGGGGTAGGCTCCTGGCCACTTTCACTAGCGCCCCTTGCTGTGTGCTGCCAGTCTTAGCTGGAACCCAGATAGATGTCTGTGGCCTGCAAAAACCACTCACATCACACCAGTTATGTTAACTGGCATTTGGAAGCTTGGCAAGGACTTCAGTGTTCTTTTCCTGTGAATTAACCCCCACCCAAAGGAAAAGCTGCAAGTTTTCCTACAGCCAATCACCCGTCTAAAGATCAGAAATTACACATTCGATCAGAAAATACTGATGAGGTTTTATTACTCATTTTCAGCTTGAAGATGGGAATGTGTGGTGTAGTTTGCAAGCAAGGTAGAGTGAAGGATAAGACTGTATTTACTGTGGAAACTGCTAGGTTAATCTGGGTGTGTGTGTGTGTGTGTGCGTGTATGGTGTGGAGCCGGTGCAGGCAGAGCATGATGCCAATGCTAGCCATTTATAGAATGAGGAGAGTTTGCCGGGGCCTTCTGGCTTATGGCTGTTGGCCCTGTATGATTAGTCAACAGCACCCTCTTTCACTCTCAAATGTTCATGTTGAATACAGGCCAAGTGACCACCCAAACAGGCCCTATTCTTCAAGGTCCAGTTCCAGACTTGCCCAATACTGGTTTCTGCTCCATGTGATGTGGTTTAAGCCTGCCACGAGCAGGAAGTTATTACACATTTTAAGATGTAGTCTTGAGGAACGTCTGAGACAACGGAGCTTCCCAATCCATTAAGTTTACTGTGGCCTGTTGTGTGTCTTTGGGTGGATCATTTCTTTGAGTTCTCATTCCATCTGACAGAGGGTAACGCAATAGTCTACTGTTCAGGTCTCTATTAAATTCGACTGTTAGTACTGGTTAGCGTTCTGCAAATAAACCACAGAAAACCACCTTATGTACTGCATCTTACCTGGGGTATATCTGGCGTCAGAATTTCCCCATCCTCCACCTACACGAAGGGGAGAATTATCCCACGTAGACAAGGGTGGCTTCTGACCAGTCAGTCCCGGAGGTGGGCGGGACGGAGCAGTGATGTTTTTAGGTGGCAAAGGGACCTTCCACAGCTCATGAGCCAGAGAGGTGTTTGTAACTGAACCAGGAGACCATGTCAATTTGGAATCACTATTTCTGGCTACTCAAAGGGGGAAAAAAAATGGAGAGGGGAGGAATAATGTTTAAAGGAGGAAATTTAAATAACAACATCCAATCTCCCACAGAAAGCAAACCTAACAAACAAAAGAAACTCTATTAAAACCTCCAAATCAAACTACACTGAGAAAAAAGAAAATCAGCCCAAAGGAAACTGCCTCCCTCCCTCAAAACACTCAAGCCATTCATCCGTTATTAATCGTTTTAAGACCTATGAAATTCTTAGGCCAGTGTCCAAAACCGTACTCTAACTGAAATGGAAAACAATTTGAATTGCTCTAAAATAGCAATTGTGAATTTCTTAATAACCGTAATCGAGTCACTCAAGAAAGTCAGGCCATTTAAATGAATTTTAGAACTCTGTTGTTTACTCAGGGAAGAAAGGACTGCAAAAGAGCCCCAAATCGGGAGCTGTCACAGGAGATCTTCACAGGCTGCCTGCCTCTCTGCGCCATGCATTGGCTACTGGGCACCTGGCATGTGCTGTCTGTGATCTCGACACAGTCTACTGAGGACAGAGTGGGTAAGTAATTTGTCTATGGGTCTAATGTAGAGCCAGGATTCAAAACTAAGCCTGCATGACAAAAGAAAGAAAAGAAAGGAAAGTAAAATGGAGGAAGAAAGGAAAGGAAAGGAAAAGGAAAGAGAGCAAAAAAAGAAAGGAAAGAGAGAAAAGAAAAAGACAGCAGGCCTGTTCCTGATGCACACGGCCTTGCAGCAATGGGGACATGAGTGGTATGCAGGGACCGGGTACACAGTAAACTATATCAACTGTCACGCTAAAAGCATGGGGGCACAGCAAGGAAGGGAACAATTCCTATCCTCCATCACTATCAACTCTTTTCTTACTTAACTTACAAAGTGCGTGTGCATTAGGTCAGTGCTACTCAGGGTGTGGCTGCAGTCACAACACAGTTTCATATTAATCTGCCACAGGATGAGTCCAGAAATTCAGAGTGCACATGTGTAGACCAAAAGCAACCTGACATTCCTGTAACTCTCAAGCATGCCATCATTCTCCTAGCAATTCGGAATTCATGTTTACCGTATTTTACAAAAGTATCAGTCTATGAGGACTGGCAATTTTTTTTTTAAGGTCCATCACTTAAGATAGTCTGAAAACTAGTTTGGATTAAATTACATTTAATTACAGAGCTGCTGTGGCTCTCAGGTGAGTGGGAGTGGTTCAGTGAAAACTGATTTTAGTAGATGACCGCTGGGTAGAGTAAGTTTAAAAGGAATAAATGATGTTAAAAAATAATTTCCCAGGCTCACAAACAGAACCTCTTAACTCCCTGAGAAGACTATGGACAAAAAGAAGAGGGCATTAAAACAACACTGCGGCCTTGGCTATGACCCTCCCTTCCTGAATGAAGGCGAGGCCCACCTGAAGTGCTTTGTGCTGTACTGCTGAGGGGAACGTTGTAGTTGGAGGCACGAATGGATGACCAGGCACTAGTTGAAGGCAGCGTGGTGTTCAAGGATGAGGATGACCCTGTGTGAGGGAAAAGTCCAATCAGCCACCAGGGCAAGGGATGTGGAGGTTAAGAAAAAGCAAAAGCTTCCAGAGAAATCGAGGTCTAACAGTATGCCACAAGAAAGGAAACAAGATGATGCCTGAGACATCTTCCTTCTTGCCTTCAAATGAGCACGCTGAGCGAGCTCGCCAGCTGTCTCTGCCTTGGCTCAGCACAGGCATTTTCCCTCTGATTTTGTCCTCACTGGCTGTGAGGATGCATTCTAGCAATGAGGTCCACCCACCCAGGACAGCACTTGCGCTCTGCTTCCCAGCACTGGGTCTAAAAGGAGGTTTGAGTCTTGCTGCTCCTAACTTGCCCCTGAGACCCAGGGACTTCTTACTGGCTAGCCTGCTCTCTAAGGCACCCAGCCGCAGGCATTGCCAGTGAGCTGAGCCTTCAGCCTTCTCCATTACTCGCTATATTCAGGCTCCCAAACCTGGTGTTGCTTTCCATTTTCAAAACCCCCTTCAGTACTACTCTAGTTGAGCTCTAGACCTGACCACCATCTGGATTACTATACCAGTTCCCTGACTGGTCTACCAGCCCAAACCACTCTGGTGACTGCAGCCAGATTACCCCATCTTAAAGACTCTTCCACCCAAAGCCGTCAATGCTCTATTTGCTTTAACATCAAATCCAAACTCTCCTGACTTTCAGAGCCTTTCTATAGGCCATCAGATTCTTCAATTAACTCCCATGCTGTGAGAATTTATGCTTGGCTTCGTGTCCTCCAAAGGGGGCAGAGCTGTCTGTGAAACATAGACGCTTCGCAATGCTGAGGACTCTTCTCTGCTGGTGCAGAGACACTTGTTACCTCAGCAAATTACACGTCTAAGGCAACATGGTGGCTGCTTCACATCTGCTTTATAAAAGTATAGATGGTATTTTAAAAAGAAAGTATATTTTAATATCTAAAAATTCATTCATTAACAGTCCTCTGGTACAAAATCATGGATGAAACACATGTAAATGCCTTGAGGTGAAAAGTAACCCTGTGGCAGGTAATAGGATAATTTTATTTGCTAACCAATTAAAAAGCACATCTGGACTGCAGGGATCCTTAAATTGGTCTTATTCTTACTCTCTGAGACAGTTTAATTTGCTCTTCCAGACAAAAGTCCTTCAATATTCACAGTATATAAATATAAAAGTATAAGGTCTTGTTTTTTAAATAATCATAATCTTGTAACTCAGTATAAAGTTAGTAATATAACTTCATTTGTTTTTTTTTTTTTTCATTCAGTTAATACAATTATTGGAAAGCACAGGTTTGCTGGTCCTTCATGTTAACTTATTAAATTAATATCCATGTTTGCCATACTAAGGATGATGAAATTCTCATCATTTAAAAAGCAGCCAAATTAAAAAGCCACCTATGGGAAAATAGGAAGTTGTTTGCCATTCTTCTTTTTTTTGTTGTTTTGAAAAGAGACAGGGTCCCACACCATGTTGCCCAGGCTAGCCTCAAGCTCCTGGGCTCAAGCGATCCTGCTGTCTCAGTCTCCCAGAGTAGCTGGCACTACATGAACCATTCTTAAGCTGTGTTGTTAATTCTCACTCAGAAATGGATTTGCACCCCTACGTACCACTGTTCCTGTCCCTGAGGTGGTCAACTTCCCGCACAGTATTAATTGAAAGATTGTTTATGACACTGCCAGGAGTGACGTAAGGGTCAGTTTCAGGGTCAATGTTTGGATAACCTTTCCATGGCTCACCAGGACGAAATTCTGGAAATGGAAATTTAAAATCAGTTCAAAGCTTAATCATCATTTTAAAATCCATTATTAGATATCCAAAACCTTTATTCCTAAATTCTATGCAACTCTCAAATATTTTCCAATTTATACTAACACTCTAAGAGGATGGTTCAGTGATATAATTAGTATTATAGAGCTATTCTTTACAAATAACTTGCAAGTTTTTACAACTGAAATAATCTCTCTGAACGTGAATATACATATACACACATATATATGCATATATGCATGTGTACTTGTATGTATACAGACACATACATACGTGTGTGTGTGTGTGTGTGTAAATATATGTATGTATGTATGTTTGCGACAGGGTCTTGCTCTATCACCCAGACTGGAGTGCAGTGGTGCAATCATAGCTCACTGTAGCCTTGAACTCCTGGATTCAAGTGATCTCACAGCTCAGGCTCCCCAAGTGCTGGGATTACAGGCATATGCCACTGTGCCTGGCCGTGGATTCCTGTATTCTTAAACAGTAACATTTAAAAGTGCTTTATGACAAATCACAAAGCTACTGCAACTCAGGTAGGACAAAGCAGGCCATAGAAGCATTTCTGTTAACTCCTATGTACAAATGAAAACACTGCAAATTACTCCCTGACACAACTTAAGAGAAATAATGAATTAAAATTTTTAATAGAATTCTTCATGCTGGTCAATGGGACTCACTTCTACCTCTGCTGCTTGAGCATAACGGCATAGGGAACAGGCTGACACACTCACTTGCCCAAGACTTCATGCTTAACTTTTCCTCTATCACTTCTGCATTCCTTCTCATCCGCACAGGTCAGTCTAATCACGCCGATCTGGGCTACATCAGTAGTAAGTCCAGATGTAACAAAACCTTAATGGAAACACAGTCTCATGAAAGAAACTGTTAGAAAAAATTTTACCTGGTGGCCAATTAACACTGCTAGAGCCATTAGGCGATTTGGCACGTGGCCAGCCATCTCCTATAGAACCTGGAGGACTGGCTGGTGAAGTACTGCTGTTCATAAAGTCATAGGGAACAAATGGAGACTCTTCCAGCCTGAAACCACTTGAAATAGCACCTAACAAGAGAAGAATAACAGAGAAATGTGAGCAAAAATGCACCATCAAATTTATTTCTTACACTTTCTCAAATGTAACATGACCACTTTCTATTGGATCTGTGTTCGCTGGAGTAACTCTTTTATATTGAGATTCTAACGTCTCATTTGAAGAACGTCTGAAAGTGACCACCGTGAATTTCATTTCAAGGATATGAGGCCCATAAACATCATTAAGTGACCAGAATATTAGTATAAAATTATTTCCAAATCATTAAAACACCTGTATTTTGGACTAAATTGAGATTGAGTTTGGTGAACTCTTTGGTGGGAAATTCCTGTTTTGGAGGATGAATGAGGAACACAGAAGGAGGGAACAAATGGTGATAAAGGAAGAACCATGGTAGGGAGCACTCTGAGTGCAAAGAGGTGGATCTGAGAATCCAGAAAACCGCTATGCCCACAAGATTATACGCAACAAAAAGAGATCAATACTTTTCTCTATCAGGATGTTCATATTTCCACCCTATGCTCCTCCTTCTTGTGACTACACAGTACTGGTAAAGATAGCTGTTACAAAAACAAGTGTGAAATCCCATAAAAGCACTATTTCACTTAGAGATTATCCTTTGTTTTCTTGTGATTTACTCTCCAGATACATATCTGAACACACATTAAAATGACAAATGCAGGCTGGGCACAATGGCTCATGCCTGTAATCCCAGCACTTTGGGAGGCTCAGGCGGATGGATTACAAGGTCAGGAGCTGTAGACCAGCCTGGCCAACATGGTAAAACCCCATCTCTACTAAAAAAAATAAAATACAAAAATGAAAATACAAAAACTAGCCGGGCACAGTGATGTATGCCTGTAATACCAGCTACTTGGGAGCCAGAGGGTACAGGGAGCTAAGATCATGCCACGGCACTCCAGCCTGGGTGACAGAGCAAGATGCAAAAAAAAAAAAAAAAAAAAAAAAAAAAAAAAAAAAAAAAAAAAAAAAAAAAAAAGACAAACGCTTTACTATTAATACAAGCGGAAAGACACACCATTCTCACTGGAACTGTGTCAGCCGCTGTGCTAAGTGCTGGAAGTAGAAAGGCAAATCAGATGGATGGGGTCCTTGCACTTGGTGACACTGTATTCTAACAAAAACCAAATGAACGGAGAAGGGAAAGAGAGTGTGTAGCAAAGAGGGGCAGAGCTAGCATGTGAGGGGTTGGGGAAGAGATACCAGCTGGTAGGCAGCCTGCACAAAGGCCTCATGAGAAAAAGTGTGACATGTTTGAGAAAATGCAAAATCACTTTGTCTGAAAACTAAGTGGGAGAGTGAGTAACATTAAGGAGTTGGGCCCTGATCTCCCATGCAGGGAGGGATGAGAGGGCAGGGATGCCCCATTATGTTTTGTTTCAAAGGTCCTGAGGTGGGAGGTGCATGCTACAATCAGCCCTAGGACCTAGCACTCCAAACTGGCCCTTGCCCTGCCAGCTCCACCCATGTTTGTATCCCAGTCCCTGAAGGCATTACAATTTGCAACACCCTCATGTAGGGATGCAGGGCTTTGCAGGCAGGCCACACTAAGGAGTTTTTTGTCTTTTTTAAAAGAGTGAGTCTCAGCTCACTGCAAGTGATTGCGCTCAAGTGATTCTTGTCGCTCAGCCTCTTGAGTAGCTAGGATTACAGGTGTGGGCCACACCTGGCTGTTTTTGTGTATTCTTAGTAGAGACAGCGTTTTGCTATGTTGGCCAGGCTGGTCTTGAACTCCTGACCTCAAGTGATCTGCCTGTCTCAGCCTCCCAAAGTGCTGAGATTAAGGTGTGAGCCACCACGCCTGGCCAGTTCTTTCATACTGAAGGGTTTTAAGACAAGAAGTAATACAATTTAATTTGTTTGAGATCACTTTTGCTTCTGTGTGGAAGATGAACTGGAGGTGAGAGAAACAATGCAAGCAGGAAGACCGTTAGAGGCTCCTGAGATAGTGAGGGGTCATCCATGCATAAACCGTGTACTTTGGAAGTAGAATGGGCACTATTTACAGATGGATATGGGGGTTGAAGAAAGGAAGACATCTCCTAAGTGGATAAACAAACGGTGGCATGTTCCATTACAACTCTTGAAAGGAATGAAGTTTGTACGCCACAATGTGGATGAGCCTGGAAAACAGCATGCCAGACACAAAGGGCCAGAAAGTACATACTTCTATTTTAATGAAATGTCTAGTAAAGACAAATCTATAGAAAACAGAAGGTAGGTTAGTTTTTGTTTATGGCTAGGAAAGAAGGGAGAATGGCAGAGGGGCTATGATAGCTCAGGGGTTCTTTTTAGGTGGATTGTGATGATGGCTACACAACACTGTGAATATACTAAAAGCCACTGAATTAAAAGTAAATTATATCTCAATAAACTGCTAAAAAAGAAGGAATGAAAAAGCCCGGGTGCGGTGGCTCATGCCTGTAATCCCAGCACTTTGGGAGGCTGGGGCAAGTGGAGCATGAGGTCAGGAGTCTGAGACCAGCCTGACGAATACGGTGAAACCACGTCTCTACTAAAAAAAAAAAAAAATACAAAAATTAGCCGGGTATAGTGGCAGGTGCCTGTAGTCTCAGCTACTTGGGAGGCTGAGGCAGGAGAATCGCTTGAACCCAGGAGGTAGAGGCTGCAGTGAGTTGAGATCACACCACTGCACTCCAGCCTGGGCAACAGAGGGAGACTCTGTCTTAAAAATGAAACAAAGAATGGGGCTGGGCGTGGTGGCTCACGCCTGTAATCCCAGCACTTTGGGAGGCCCAGGTGGGTGGATCACGAGGTCAAGAGATTGAAACTATCCTGGTCAACATGGCAAAATCCTGTCTCTACTAAAAATACAAACATTAGCTGGGCATGGTGGTGGGCGTCTGCAATTCCTGCTATTCGGGAGGCTGAGGCAGGAGAATTGCTTGAACCCGGGAGGCAGAGGCTGTAGTGAGCTGAGATTGCACCACTGCACCCCAGCCTGGGTGACAGAGCAAGGCTCTGTCTCCAAAAAAAAAAAAAGTAAGTAAGTCTCATTTTCTAGCTTCAGGCATTTCACGGGCAGAGGTATAATCCATTGACACTGGAAGAAATCAGAGTGTGAAAGGGAAAACCAAGTCTCCACCATTCATGTTGAGTTTGAGGTGGATGTAAATAGAACCTGGCTTGCAACTCTGGCCGGCTCCCACTATGAATGTCCATTACCGCACAGTCAAGCCCTGCATGCCACTCCAGCCCCATTCCTTCCTCTGACTTCAAGTCTCAGGGATGATGGTGCTGGCCCGCGACAGGGCCTCCAACCCCTCGCTGGCGGGCACTGACCTATCCCTGACTCAGTGCATCTCCACAGTGCCCATTTCCCCTCTGGCTCTGGTGTCCTTAATCTTGTCAATCTGATCTGTGTGAACTATGTATCTGTTCTATAAGCAGAATTAAAGCCATCTGGGAGTGAAATCGGACATAAATAAAGTAATGGGTGTACATGAAGCAAGGATACATGAAGCAAGCATAATTACCACATTCCAAGTGATTAATTCTTATACCTGAGATGACAAACATTATATTTTTTCTAGTAAGAACAATTTCGATTAGGGAAAACTTCATTTAATCAAAGGGAAATAGATGACATAATGAGGCAGCAGGGGTCCAATTGTATTTCATTAATCAACACAAGGGGAACATGAGGAAAATGAAATGTAAAACATACATGATACGTTCAGTTTAAGCAAATGGACCTAAATGTACCGTGGAGAAATGTATTTGTCTTGAAGGTAGGGGATCTGATGAGATAGTGATGAAGACAGTAATGGCAATGATGGCTACGATTTGCTGACCACTGATGTGTCTAACCCTGTTCCAATAGCTAAGGGCTTGAGCTGCATTGTCTCATTCATCCTCAAAACATCCCAAGAGGGCCACCATTAAAAAAGAATGAAATCATGTCTTTTGCAGAAACGCAGATGGAGCTGGGAGCCATTATTCCATGTAAACTAAAGAGAAAATCAAATACTGTATGCTCTCACTTTTAAGCAGGAGCTAACTAATGGGTACTCAAACATGAAAATAATAGACACTTGGGACTCCACAAGGGGAGAGGGTAGCAAGGGTTGACAAACTACTTATTGGGTAAAATGTTCACTATTTGGGTAATGGGCTCACTGGAAGCCCAATCTCCACCAGTATGCAATATACCTGTGCAAAAACATGCACAGGTACCCCCAAATCTAAAATAAATCTAGGCCGGATGCAGTGGCTCACACCTGTAATCCCAGCACTTTCAGAGGCTGAGGTGGGCAGATCATTTGTGCTCAGCAGTTTGAGACCAGCCTGGGCACCATAGGAAAACCCCATCTCTACTAAAAATATAAAAAAAAAAAACTAGCCAGATGTGGTGGTGCACACCTGTAATCCCAGCTGCTAGGGAGGCTGGGGGTGGGGGTGTGGGGTGTGGGGAGGAAATCACCTGAGTCTAGGTCAAGGCTGTAGTGACCTAAGATTGTGCCACTGTACTCCAACTTTGGCAACTGAGGTGAGACCATGTCTCAAAAAAAAACCAAAACAAACAAACAAACAAAAATAGCCCAAAAGGTACTATTATTAATTCCATTTGGCAGAGGGACCTCAAGTTCAGAAAGGTTACTTGCCAAATACCTAATTAAAATCAAATGTCACTTAACAGGGCTACATTTGGAGACATTAGGCAATTTCATTTTTGTGTGAACATCAGAGATGGCAGAGCCCGCTACACAGCAAAGCCCTATGACATGGCCTAATGCTCCTAGGCTACAAACCTACAGTGTGTTACTGTACTGAGTAATGCAGGTGTATCTAAACATAGCTAAACAGGAAAGGTACAGTAAAAAGATGCTACTACAAACTCAATGGACTCACTGTTACATAGATGGCTCGTTTACTGAAGCTTTGCCATTATGTGGTGCATGACTAGAATAGCAGAATCAATCAGTAGCAGAGCTAGGTCTCAAACTTAGGGTTCATATTTATTTTGTCACTTCCTCATTGTCTCAACTCCCTGTTCTCACTCTTCAGGTCAGAAAAATTCCAGGCTGGGCACAGTGGATCATGCCTATAATATCAGCATTTTGGGGGGCTGAGGCGGGTGGATCACCTGAGTTCAGGAATTTGAGACCAGCCTGGCCAACATGGTGAAACCCCATCTCTACAGAAAACACAAAAATTAGCTGGGTGTGGTGACACACACCTGTAATCCCAGCTATACTCGGAGGCTGAGGCACAAGAATCACTTGAACCTGGGAGATGAGGGTTGCAGTGAGCCAGTGATATGATTTACAGTTAACACCGATTCTTGTCTGCCTGAGACTCGGATCCCTCCTGCATTTGACCTCTGAGGGGTCTGTCTGAAGGGGCTGGAGACTGACTAGCTGATCAGTTATGCAGGTGTTTCAGGCTTACACTGCTGAATGAAAGAGTGAGTTCAGTGAGTTACCAAGCTTTTCTGCTTTTAATTTCTGAAACTCTCTTCAGTGCACTCGCTCTCATGTCCACTGACCTTTCTCTTACCTAGACTACTTTAAGTCTTAACTGCCTCTAGATACCCATCACTTTCATGTTTAAAATCATTAATGGCAGAAAAGTTTTCCACGATTTGCACCATACCTACTATTCCACCTTCATCTACCTCCTTTCTGTCATTTGCACCTTCACCCCCAGTTATGCCCAGATACAGAATTCCCCAGGCAGTCCTCTTCGAACCCTGAACCCTGCATGTACTATTCTCTCTTGTTCTTCCTGTTTGTTTGGTAAACTTACTGTTCTCAAGGTAAGTCTTTCTAGATTTGCAGATCCACCACACCCACAGTTATTCCCGACTCAGTGCTCCTAAGGAACTCTGTATTATTAAACTATTATAAATATTAACTTTGATATTACCTATTATATTGTACTGAAGCTGTTGACATACTTTTGTTCACAATGAGCAATTCCAGGGCAAGTATTTTTACTTACATACATACATATGTTCAACTGTGTGCATGTATGTACATATGTGGCTATGTATTTCAGGTGCTAACACAGCCTTGGAAAGCAGAAGACAACGATTAATATTTGCTGGGTAAATGGATAATACTAAATAAGATGAACATGGCATTTCTAAAAAAAATTTAATTGCTGAGAAGACAATACTGTTAAATCTATATGACTTACACAGAGCAACGAGATATATACAGAAAATGTGTCCATATAAAAGGAATTAAGAAAAATAAAATTATGGGCTGGGTGTAGTAGTTCACACTTGTAATGGCAGGACTTTGGGAGACAGTGGCAGGTAGATCACAATCACCTGAACTCAGGAGTTTGAGACCATCCTTGGCCAACATGGTGAAACCCCATCTCTACTAATAACACAAAAATTAGCCAGGCATGGTGGCTTAGGCCTGTAGTCCCAGCTACTCAGAAGGCTGAGGTAGGAAAATTGCTTGAACCCGGGAGGCAGAGGTTTCAGTGAGCTGAGATTATGCTACTGCATGCCAGCCTGGGTGACAAAATGGGACCCCATGGTAGAAGTTTTAAATATCCTACTAAGAACATATCAAATTAAATTTAGTAACTTTTTTTTTTTTTTTTTTGAGACAGAGTCTCATTGTCATCAGGCACCAGGCTGGAGTGCAGTGGCGTGATCTTGGCTCACTACAACCTCTGCCTCCCGGGTTCAAGCAATTCTCCTGCCTCAGCCTCCCGAGTGGCTGGGACTACAGGCGCACGCCACCACGTTGGCCAGGACAGTTTCAATCTCTTGACCTCGTGATCCAGCCTCAGCCTCCCAAAGTGCTGGGATTACAGGTGTGAGCCACTGCGCCCGGCCTAGTAAATGTTAATAAGTATAATAATATTAGAATAAAATCACTTACAAAAATTTAAATAATTTTAAAAAATGCATCATCTGATCTCTTCTTTATAAAACAGAGTAGAGGTGAATTTTGCTTTTCATCTGAAAGTCTCTTAACTAAGACTTAATAGCTTTTTTAAAATGAGGAAAATTTCTAAGATAATTTGGCTTTGAAAACATATATTTAAAATAAAATAAAGGACTAAATCTGATATTCTGCAGGTTTGCTTTGTTTTTCTGGTAAATAAGATTAACAATGTATTTTATACCATGTTTGCTGGAGTTTTGATCCAAAGATGTGTTCACAGAAATGCTGTCCACTGTAGTCCACTTCCTTAGTCTTGACTGTGGCTCTTTAATACTGTTCATATCCATATTTACATTCAAGTTTGAGTTCAAGCCTGAAAAATTAAAAAACAAAACATTATAAAATACAGCACATTTTCGTTCTAGTAGCACAACTATTTCCTAGAAAAAAAGGTAACGAATCTAATGTTTTCAAACCATATAACTGTTAATACTATAATTTAGTGATATGTAGAAAATATTTCTCCAAAAAATTTTGATGATTTTTCAATTCCTTGGTGAAACAACACGGAGAAAAGTTTTAAGGAAGCCAAATTTATAAGTTTACTTTGAATAAAATGCAATTGTTTAGCTACTGCCCAAGTGTACCATGCATGAAGATCTGTGGTCACTTTCAGTTGCTATCTTTTGCTTGTAAATTCGAAAGTAAAAATGTCCTGCACTAGCAATTACACCTAAGGAGGAGATGGCCATATCTTAAGGCACAATTCACTTGACCTTTCCTGATGAGGCACCTCAAACTTGGGTACTCTCTTGGAACAAGAATGGAAATTTCAACCTTAGATCAGTGGTTAGAAAACTATTAAGCTAGTTTTTCTTAAAAAGTAATCCAGGGACTATTAAAATTAGAATCACCTAAAAGCACTTGTTTAAAAATGAAGACTTTACAGTGGGAGCCACAATCTTCATTTAACAAGTTAAAACCCAGGAGGTTCTTACTCTAAAGTTCCAAATTAAACTGTTTTAAATTTTCTGATCTGTTGAGTCCATGTTAAGTCCAAAGTTTTCAAGTTTGATAACTTGAAAACTTTAACAATGTGAATTCTCTAATATCATGCCTATTTTGCAGAGGGCAACTAAATTTGCTACTCTTGGACCCATCAATCAGATCAGGAGCTAATAATTTTTTTCTGCAGAGGTTCAGCCGGTATATCAGGCTCTGTGGGCCAAATGGTTCCTGTGTCTCCATGCAACTCTGCTGGTGCAGCATGAAAGATGCCACAGACCTCAGGTTAAAGAAAATGTGGCTGTGTCCAACAAAACCTTACAAGAGCAGGCACTGGGCCAAATGTGGCCAACAGGCTATAGCCTGCTGCCCAATTTAGATAACTGTATCAGTGTCTGCATGGGCCAAGCAGACTTTCTTAATCAAGAAGTATCCCTCACTGAAAAGCTGGCCAGGGCAGGAAATCCTACACTTAGACCTTATATGGCCCAATTTATATGTCAAGTGTGTAGTCAAATAGGAAGAGCCACTTCCCTTCAGTGGTGCGACAGAAACTTCTCCCTGTACTTGGGTATCATTCTTTCACCACTAACTGTTGTCTCTGACATCACCTGACCACCACTAAATGGCTTCTACAGTATTTACCCTCAGTAGTAACTGACAAGGGAAGTGTTTCTGGAAATGCACAGAGATTACTAATAATCCTAAGGACTCAAAGTACAATTTATGTCCCAGGTGAGCCAAACCAGTTCAACCAAAGAGTGAGGCAGCAGCAGGGGCAACAGCATGCCCCAGGCTCTGCCCACAGCCCAGAACATGCCAGATAACTAAAGGTCTTCAAACACTCTGGCTGACAACCAGCAAAGCTGGTTTATAAGAAACTGCTGTTTGGGAAAAGACGGAAAGAAAAAGCAAAATGAACAGGGCATGAACAATCAAGGGTCAAAATATAATCAAGGGCAGAAGAAAAAAGAGACGTAGGAAAAAGAAAACATATAAATACAAAATCTCCATCCAGTGAATAAAAGCCTGGAGATAACAGAGAAAAAAAGGAGTGGGGTAGAGGTGGGGAGTTACATGCATAAGAAAGGCAATCTCCTTTCTTACCTCCATTTTCTTATTTATATGAGTAATCATTTACACATACTCAGACATAATTAAAACTTCAAGTTCTGAGAGCTAGCAAATGTGACTGTGACCATTACCAGCTATTTCACCAACAGAGACTGCTCAAAAATTCTCTGGTATGCTGTTTCTAATAAGAACATCCGCCTTCCCACCCTTAATAGCCTATGATTAAGACAGGTAGGCCTTAAAAAAGTGAAATGTTTCCTTTATTCTAATGCACTTCAAATGAGTATGGAGTTTTTGAAATAGTGTGATTTTCACGCCTATAATCCCAGCACTTTGGGAGGCCAAGGCGGGTGGATCACCTGAGGTCAGGAGCTCAAGATCAGTCTGGCCAACAGGGTGAAACCCCAATTCCACTAAAAATACAAAAATTATCTGGGCATGGTGGTGCACACCTGTAATCCCAGCTACTCAGGAGGCTGAGGCACGAGAATCACTTGAACCCGGGGGCAGAGGTTGCAGCCTGGGCAACAGAGCAAGACTTTGTCTCA